TGTAGATGATGGACTGTGACGTGAAACGGTACCGCTCAAAAAGATAATTGTGTGGAAATGCTAAAACATCTATGCGCGGTCTGATAACCATCTCCTGACGAATATTTAATTCTCTGCGCAGTAATGCTGCACCTTCATCCACGGGATCGTTATCAAAAGGACATGCCATGTTAGTGAAAAAAGTCGCCACCTACTGTGCCTAATGGACTTCTAATATACTTACTCTGATTTTTTAAATGATTTTTTTAAATGACAGACGGCAGAACTAGGCTACGCCAAAACTCGCCTGCTGACTGAATGAATGAGGAAATCAAATGGAGTGTGTGGCTCTGAAAGAGGGCGGAGACAGAGACACTCGAGGTTCATTGAGAAAAACCTGGTCCCGACCAGGTTAGGTTCATAGAGTCTGTTACTACGGTAACTGACCGAGAGCTTAAGTTACCTCTCTCTCTGAAACAGGCTAGAGTTACCCCTCTTTCTCTGGTTTGAGTTACCTCCCTTTTTGAAACGGAAAACTCAGAGTTTCCCTCATTTCAGGGTTAACAGACTCTGAGTTTTCACTAAACCTGCTTTGTGAAACGGACCCCTGGGCCGTTGTTTGTGAGAACACTGCAACCCACGCCTGAGCCATCTCAATTTGCGTCAACAGCCTAACTTGATTCCAACCCAGTGTTGTCTAAATTTAGATTAGACTAAAGGCCTCAAGTTGACTCTTGTTCACCACCCTCAAATAACAGGCTAGTAACGCAATTAACGCAACTGACTTAAGGATGCGCCACATCAACCACTACTCTCACAGACCTCCACACCAAGTTTACCCAGCTTTGCAAAGACTGAACAAGAAAAAGTCACCCCTGGATGCAAAAAATAGAATTGAATGACATCAAGCACAACCCTGCTCTCAAGCACACTGGATCATACAGTTTCCAAAAAGTGGTGCAATGTAACAGAGTAACAATACTTTGTTAAAATATTTAGTGTATGTCCATTTTAGAGTATCTCTGTTTTACTTGAGTATTTATATTTCTGTCAACTTTCACTTTTACTCCACTACATTTCCTAAACAAAATGTATAGCTTGGTTTATACTCCATTAAATTACTATGTATTAGAGTTAGGGTTGGGACTCGTTAGGATTTTAACGATTCTGATTCCTTACCGATTCCTTCTTAACAGTCCGATTCCTTACCGATTCCTCTTACCAATTCCTACATTATATTCATTATACTTGCTATACGTAAACAAGTATATAATAAACACAAGTGCAATCATACAAATACAAAAACTTTATTCTAACTGTTGCACAGTACAATTAGAGGAAAATACACATTTGTGTGTGGTGTGTATTTCAGATTTAGAGCTTGTATCATCTCCCTGAGAATATATAACAACAAAAAGTGATTCTCTGATTTCTACAGTAACACTATTACCTCAAATTAACCACAGCAATGTAATAAAAAAAATACTTATATGCATTCATGCTTGGGCACTGTTATTTACGTGACAGCACCTGAACAGAACACACACAGACATTGGCTCTTTGTTTCTATCACTCCCCTCGCTGGAAGTCTCTGACCTCCCACCTCCGCCTTGATTGAACGCTGAAAATAAAATAAAAGAGGGAGACAGGTTTTTCCTATTTTATCTTATTTTGTTATATTTCTCCCTCTCTCCTCGCTGGAAGCCTCAGACCTCCCGCCGCCCGCTCCCATCTCAAACACAGAGGTCTCCCTCTCCGCTGAGCACCCACGGCGCACGCCCGGCCTGTTAAATAGCCTGTAACCATAACAACTGTGTGACACAAACTCAGTGCTTTAGTCATTAAATAATGTCGGGCTCGGTCGGGTCCGGACAGAAATATGCGGCCTGTGCCGCACTCTAATGGAAATGCACGCGACTTTTTTTTTTTTACAATCTAGGAACCGTTTGCAGGAACCGTTACTCCAAATGTGATGGAACCGATTCCGGAACCGGAACTTTGGACCCGGTTCAAAAAAGAACCGGATCCCAACCCTAATTAGAGTAAAGGTATTTTACTCCAGGTTTACTCTATCTATGTGTTTCTATGTCCCAAGCATTTTCATGACTTTGTTACTTCAAAATAAAATCAGAAGATTTTGCAAATCAGTGGTCCTAGCTTGCAAATTAGATCACAGGTTAATCACATAAGGGAAAGTGCAAACAAGTGTTCTCAAAGCTGCAGGTAAAATGGTGCCCTCTAGGCTGCCAAATAGCCTATCGTAAAGCATTCTGCTGTGTCACTGAAATTTTAACATAATTCAGCACAATGTGTTTCATGGTTCAGTTCAATTGTCCAATGTGTGGCCCTTCGCTTACTTTTTCTAAGTTTGCATGTTCTGACCAAACTGTCAGAAACAGACTCCATGGGGGTGGCATGAGGGCCCGACGTCCTCTAGTGGGACCTGTGCTCATAGCCCAGCACCGTGCAGCTCCATTGGCATTCACCAGAGGACACCAGTACCACTATTAAGCACCCATTGGCTTCACAGATGAGAGCAGGTAAACACTGATCACATGTGAGTCTGGAGAAACTATGGTGAACGTTATGCTGCCTGTAACATCATCCAGCATGACTGGTTTGGCGATGGGTCAGCGATCTGAGTCACACTACCGAGTCACGTTCTGAGTTGCCGTGATAAGCCTTTGATTTCAGTTTTTTACTTTGATTTTTGGTGTGATTTTGAATCCAGCCCTCAGTGGGTTGATGATTTTGGTTTCAATTGACTGTCACTTTGGTCTCACCAAATTATACAATGTACATCAGTAAAGATTTTCAACTTGATTTATTCATTCATCATGATCTGATGTGTGATTTAAGTGTTCCCCTTATTTTTTGAACAGTGAACAATTCAGATTTAACCACTGCCAGTGTGTAGAAAGGATTCATTCATTCATTCATTCATTCATCTTCTAACCGCATCATCCTCTTGAGGGTCGCGGGGGGGCTGGAGCCTATCCCAGCTGACATCGGGCGAGAGGCAGGGTACACCCTGGACAGGTCGCCAGACTATTGCAGGGCTGACACATAGAGACAGACAACCACTCACGCTCACATTCACACCTACGGACAATTTAGAGTTATCAATTAACCTAATCCCCAGTCTGCATGTCTTTGGACTGTGGGAGGAAGCCGGAGTGCCCGGAGAGAACCCACGCTGACACGGGGAGAACATGCAAACTCCACACAGAAGGGCTCCCACACCCGGGATCGAACCGGGAACCCTCTTGCTGTGAGGCGACAGTGCTAACCACCACACCAGAGTGCCGCCCGTGTAGAAAGGATATTCATATTAATTTGCGTGACATACAAATCACTGACTTTGTATAAAAATTGGCAAGATGAAAATACATCACTCAACCCACTTGTGAAACACATGTTCAAGAAACAGCAGTATAACAGGGTATCTGTAGATTTTGAAAAGTCTAAAAAGAAAATATTCATTTCTTAAAAGAAGAAAAGTCTTCTATTTAATTTACATGAATAGTTTGACTTACTTGTCGTAATACATTAATTCACTTATTAATTTCTATAATCGCTTAACCTGTTGGGTCCCAGGTGAGAGGCAGGGTACACACTGGACAGGTCAATAGACTATCACAGGGCTGACACATAGAGACAGACAACTATTCATACTCACATCACACCTACAGCTAATTTAGAGTCACCAATTAAGCTGCATGTCTTTGGACTGTGGGAAGTAGTACCAGGAGAGAACCCACGCTGACACGGTGACAACTGCACAACCCTGCCACCCTGCGCATTTCTGAGCTGCCGGGAGATGTCACATGTATAAACTAATAGTGGGATTGTTGCAACAGTGATTTTATAGGGAAACATACTGACATCATGATCTGACACTCTGAGGAATATGTGGAAATAACAAGACTTTTTTTTTTTTTAGATGTGTCTGTCTAAACAATATTGTTTTGTACTGAAAATGTATTGTGTCACCCATGTATATCATTTCTCCGGGAAAAAAAACAACAACAAATATCACAGACAATATTCATTCAGTATTTTTAAATATACAATTTCCTTGTTTTGTTTTGTTTGTTTTTTTTCTTGTTGTTTTATTTATGGTGCCTTTCACCTTGCTTCATGATCATGTTATAAGAAATTTGAATAAACTTCCTTGTCATATCTTCTCATCACACTGGAGGAACTTCCTTTGACATTCACTTCGGAGGAATGTACCAGCAACCTGTTGCACAGGATGAAAAAGGGAGTATGCCATTATACTGAGCCAAGAAACTGACGTATTGACATCTGGCAGTTTGTGTCCTATGATGTGGACTTGTTTATCACAAAGGTGTCACAACATTCTTAAGAAGTTATTACCTATGAGTCACTTCATTAGCTTTGTATTCTGTTCCAATATAAAGGCCATAATAGGTGTGGACTGTCACTTAAGGTGAGAAGGTTTGGAACATCACAGACGTGAACAGGGCTGAATTAAGACACTGGAATAGTGTTTAACACTGAAAGCAGATAGAAGGGGGGGGATTTATACCTTCATCTCATATCTTTACACTTGGGTGAGTGCATTTTTCATTTTATATATGTAGACCTTTGTACGTTTACACAGTGTGTATAGAAGAGAGAGTGTGTGTATGCATGTGTCTGTTTAATATTTGTGTGTTTACTTATTTATGTATGAATGTATTTTATCAACAGTCTCTGTCTTACCTTTAGGAAATGCTCATGTATTCTCGTTCATTATAATTTAATTGTCATTATCACATATTTAAAGTGACAATAAGTGACTGCCTCGTTAAGTTATTATAAAATGTTGTAAAATCCAGTTGTAGCTTTCTCTTTAGCTGATATTCTAGTTTGTTTGTTTTTTTAGTTTCCCCCAAATATAGGTGCTATTTAATTTTGTTTTTCATCTCCATTTATTCGGCATTTCTAACCTTTCTCTCACTTGTCAACAGTTTATGGATTTTGTCAGAAAGCCACATGAATGAAAATGTACAGTGTACGACAACCAGTACTGTAGTCCAGACCACCTAAACTGAGACCAAGTCATGACCAAGACCAGAGTGTATGGAGACTCAGACAAAACCAAGACTTAGAGGTTGAGACCAAGTTTAGACCAAAACCAAGACCAGTGTGAGTCCCACACTGCATGGTAGAAACTGTGTGACATACAAACCATAGGCACTCCCAAAATTGATCTCAAAGATCCACATTCTCATAAAAACACCTACAAAGACAAAAGAAGATTCCTCTTCATTCACCTCTGTTATTGCCATATTGTCTGTATGTGTTAGTATAACATGAGAAATGTTTTTATAAAATAGTTAAAGGCATTATGGAGATGAATATTATGGCAGTAAATTTTGTTCTCTGTGAGCAGACATATAAGAAATCAACTTCACCATGTTTATACAACACTCCGTTTTCACACAGGTTATTTAGTAATATCCCTGTGCTTGTGTTCTTGACTGGTCACAAAATAAAAATACAGAATCCTGACAAAGAGACAAGACCAAGACCAAGCATTTTATTACAGTTATTTCAAAGATTAAAGTCATGGATCAGGATACAGATTATTTCATGGACAGATACTGCATTATACTTATTTTTTTACATCAAACAGTTCCCTTTGAATGTTTTGTGTAACCTGAGTAAAAACGACTAAAATCACTGCTATTATGAAAACTCTCATTTGCAGGTTTAACACTGTGTAATACGTAAAAGTCAGTAAATCTCTGTTCTGTTTGATTTTATAGAGAAAAAGAAAACCAGGATGGGTGTCACACACATTGTATCAGTGTTGCTGATTCTAACAGGTGAGCTGAGTCATGTTGAACCAGTTGCTTTGAAATGGTAATAGAAAATGTGAAAAAGTGAAAAGGTGTAAGATCGACACCAACACAGCATCAACTTACGGTTGAGTTCTTCCCGACACATCCTCAAATATTTCTTAGATAACTGAACATCAGAGTGTAGAATCACCTTTATATTGTAATTACTTAATATAAGAGCAAGATAAACTGGGTTTTGATAAAACTGTTGACTTCTTTGGTACTTTATAGCTACAATGACACCAGGTGCAACACAAACAACTACAACTGCTGCACCTACAACAGCTGCACCCACAACTGTGGCACCTACAACAGCTGCACCCACAACTGCCGCACCAACAACGGCTGCACCTACAACCACTGCACCTACAACAGCTGCACCAACAACTGCCGCACCTACAACAGTTGCACCTACAACTGCCACTCCAACGACTGCTGCACCTACAACTGCTGCACCAACAACAGCTGCACCTACAACTGCCGCACCTACAACAGCTGCACCTACAACTGCCGCTCCAACGACTGCTGCACCTACAACTGCTGCACCAACAACAGCTGCACCTACAACTGCCGCTCCAACAACTGCTGCACCTACAACTGCTGCACCAACAACAGCTGCACCTACAACTGCCGCACCTACCACTACCGCACCTACAACTGCCGCACCTACAACCGCTGCACCAACAACTGCTGCACCTACGACGGCCGCACCTACAACTGCTGCACCAACAACCGCTGCACCTACAACTGCTGCACCCACAACAGCCGCACCTACAACTGCTGCACCGACAACTGCAGCACCAACAAGCACTGCACCTACAACTGCAGCACCTACAACAGCTGCACCAACAACTGCCGCACCTACAACTGCTGCACCTACAACTGCTGCACCTACAACAGCTGCACCCACAACTGCTGCTCCAGCAACTGCTGCACCCACGACTGCTGCACCCACGACTGCCGCACCTACCACTGCAGCACCTACAACAGCTGCACCTACAACTGCTGCTCCAACAACTGCTGCACCCACGACTGCTATACCCACAACTGCCGTACCAACAACTGTTGCACCTACAACTGCTGCACCTACAACTGCTGCTCCAACAACTGTGGCACTGACAACTGCTGCACCCACGACTGCCGCACCAACAACTGCCGCACCTGCAACTGCTGCACCTACCACTGCTGCACCTACAACCGCTGCACCTACAACTGCCACACCTACAACAGCTGCACCAACAACTGCCGCACCTACAACTGCTGCACCAACAACGGCTGCACCTACAACTGCCGCACCTACAACTGCTGCACCTACAACTGCCGCACCTACGAGTGCCGTACCTACAACTGCTGCACCAACAACGGCTGCACCTACAACTGCCGCACCTACAACTGCTGCTCCAACGACTGCTGCACCTACGACAGCTGCACCTATGACAGCTGCTCCAACGACTGCTGCACCTACGACAGTTGCACCTACGATGGCTGCACCTACAACTTCCGCACCTACGACTGCCGTACCTACAACTGCTGCACCTACAACTGCCGCACCTACAACTGCTGCTCCAACGACTGCTGCACCTACGACGGCTGCACCTACGACGGCAGTACCTACAACTGCCGCTCCAACAACTGCTGCACCTACAACTGCCGCACCTACAACTGCTGCACCTACCACTGCAGCACCTACAACAGCTGCACCTACAACTGCTGCTCCAACGACTGATGCACCTACGACTGCCGCACCTACAACAGCTGCACCTACAACTACCGCACCTACAACAGCTGCACCTACAACTACAGCACCTACAACTGCTGTTCCAACAACTGCAGCACCGACAACTGCCGCACCTACAACAGCTGCTCAAACTACTGCTGCACCTACAACTGCTGCTCCAACCACTGTTGCACCTACAACTGCTGCCCAAACAACTGCAGCAGCTACAACTGCCGCACCTGCAACTGCTGCAACTGCAACTGCAGCACCTACAACGGCTGCACCTTCAACTGCAGCACCAACAACCGCCGCACCTACCACTGCAGCACCTACAACTGCCGCTCCAACGACTGCTGCACCTACGACTGCAGGACCTACAACAGCTGCACCTATGACTGCCGCACCTGCAACAGCTGCAGCTACAACTGCCGCACCAACTGCTGCACCTACAATGTCTGCACCAACAACGGCAGCACCAACAACTGCTGCTCAAACAACTGCTGCACCAACCACTGCTGCTCAGACAACTGCCGCACCTACAACTGCCGCACCTGCAACTGCTGCACCCACAAATCTCATAACATCAAGGGTGTCTTTCAGATCTGTTCGAGACACATTTACAACTGACTTGCTGAATCCATCATCTCCAGCTTATATAAGGAGAGCTTCAATGATAGAGAGACAGGTTAGTCTCAACCTTTGTAAGAAAAATGCTAGTACACCTACTGACTTTTTTTTTCAGATAGATCAATCACCAACTCAAAGAATTGATTACTTACTATACATTCTGAATAATAGACATTTAAAAAAAAAGTTGCAAATACAACTTATTTTCTGTTTCTGCAGCTTCATCCTGTTTTTCAAGAGGCATTCCCTTCCTCCTTCAGATCTGTGAAAGTGGTGTCATTTAGGTAATTTGTCAAGATTTTTTGTTGTCTTAAAACAAAAGACTAGTGGCAGAAATGTGATATTTCAAACAATTTTGTTCTTTCCCTTTCTGCAGTGAGGGATCAATCATCACCATCATGGATGTTAGCTTTGTGAACACATCTGCTCCTAGTAACACTCAGATTGGAAGTGTTTTGATCAACGCATCTTCAATCGTCACCGGCTTTGACATTGAAGGCAGCTCCATCACTGTGAATGGCATAGGTAAGCAATAATGAGTGCTAGTTGAACAAAAATTTCCAAAGTTGCACACGTGTTTGTTTTACTAATGTTTTGTTTCCTTTTGTCGTCATTTACAGTGTCAGGTGGAGTAATCCACGGGATCAGTCTTGTCACCGCATCCTGCCTGGTACTGTTGTCATGGCTACTGTCAAACCAGCAATAACATCAGTGCTGATTTTACATTTACCATTGCCATCTGATGATGACTGCGTTTACTATTTCTAAAAAGGACTGCCAATGGTAAAAATCCATGATTCATGATTGTCATGAATTGTGTACAGCTTCGAATGAACAGGGCAAGCGTAAGCTTGTATTCCTTAAGGAACACAAGGCCATCGAAGGTTTCCATCAATGTTTCTGTGGCAGATATGTTTTTTTGTTTTATTTTGATTTTACTGTTTGGGGTTGACAACCCTAAGCCCAACCTCTCATGGTTTCTGGTTTCTGGTGTGTTTTGAGGTTGATTTGTAAGTCCCCTCCCCTGACCTATTGTCCTCCAGATAATAAATTAGAGTCACATACCACATGGGACCAAACAGACTTAGGTTCTGGTATGAGCTGTCCTGGTACATCAAGCCCAGCCAACTCCCGCTGCTATGTTGTGAACGCTGCCAACAGTACAACCATGTATCTATTGTAGTATTTCATACCAGCAGCACAAGACAGAGCCGCTGATAAACTTGCTGTCCAAATCATCTTTAACTACAAGGTCCATCGAATCATCATTAGAATAATGTAATTATTATTAATATAATTTCAAGCCCTGGTATGTCAGAAAATAATGAGCACTGATCTCTTGCAATATTTAACTTGATAGTTATGAATGTTGTCTTGTTTATTCATGTCTGCCAAAACCAGTAAAGCCAGCCACACTGGAAAGTAAACTGTGGATCACACTCACCATTTCTGAATGGTGAATTAAATGAAGGAACACATGCAGGTCATAGTGGGCTTCACATCCCAACCCAGAACTAATGTGTAGAGTTTTATCATCGTGGTATACATGATATCAAACCTGTCTATCTTATTTATACTTTATATCTTAAGTATTTTTATGTAATTATGCTGTATTCTAGAAGATTTTGTGTAGTTTGTACAGTTTCTGTCAGAAACCTTTCAGTGAGTACAGAATAAAAAATCTTTGAGGAATTTAAATCATCTCTCATGTGATGTTTTGCGATTTTAGTGGGGAAATAGAAAATGTATCACAGCATGTTTAACATCAGCAGCTTTAATTAAGGCAGTAGTGATGTTTACAGATAGTCACACCCTGCCGTGTGATTTCCCATAATTAAATGTCACAATAGCGCCTTACAGGCGCTCTCAGCCTTTGTTGTGTCAGTAAATCAAGTTTGTCCAGAGAGAGAGAACTGGGAGTGGTGCATTCTTTACTTTGGCTATAAGATTCATATTTATTCAAACACCGCCACACAGTCTGAGAGAACCATTGTTTTTCGGTCACCTCAGACGCAGAGTAACCACCAGCATTAAAACCAGCATCAACCACTATCAGTTAATGAATGAAAATTGTTTTCACTGATGCATTAAAGATAAATACAAACTATCAGTCTCTGCCTCATCATTCCCTAAAATCTTATAGCATCATAAGGTAGCTATTAAATGCAGTTAGTAAATTAATTTTGATGATAAGGAAATTATTTTAGTAAAAATCATGTGTAATTGTTGTTTATCACTGTTTTCTATGATAAGTAAATATCACTGTGTTGTGGCTGTTGGTCAAACAAAACAAGCACTTTGAAGACGTCACTTTTGGCTCCGGGATCTTGTTGTGGACATTTTGTACTGTTTTCTGACATTTTAAAGATGAAAAAAGAATCGATTAATCAACAAAAGAAAAGCCAGATTAATCAATAATAATTAATGATTGAGTGATGCCACCCTATTGAAGACTATGCTGAATAGGCAGTATTACTGCCTCTGTGAACATTGTATCTCTGTGCCACTGTTAGACCTTACCTGAAACCCAAAGCCTCCAGCTGCTTTTCCTCCAGTCTGCTGTCCTGATAATCTATTGGATGATGCTTCCTGCAGGTAATACAACAAAAAGTTAGTGTACTGTATGACAGAGACACAATAACCCTCCCTAATGAACACTTTAATTATACTTAAATAGCTATTAGTGTAGAAAAAAAACAATCTCAAAAACAATTTTTCAAGTTGCAGCCAGCCATTTCACATTAGCTCACCTGAGAGCCTACAGCTCCACCTGCTGGTGTCAATCGCTGCTACTCACAGAAAATGTTTTTTTTTTTTGATACAATTTGGTTCCTCTTACAAACAAATGTCTCTTTGCGGCATGTCTCTTTTCTGTTTGTTTTTTTACCGGCAACTTTGTGTACAAGTAAGTAAATATGATGACTGTTAAAATGACATGTTTGAGCAATCAACACAAGCAAGCAAAAAATAACACCTGAAATACAAATGTAAAATCAAATGAGATATTATGATAACTCAGTGATGCTTAATTGTTAAACATTAAATCAAATTAATTAAACATTAAACAACATTAAATTAATTCAATCATTAAATTGATCTCATTCATTCATCTCACAGGATCTAACAGTAACATTAGAGCTTCAGCTGATGAAAATGTGTAGTAGCCACATCCTGATGGTTGCCAGATCAGCATGTCAGGTATCCCCCATCTCGCCTTTTTCACTCTTTATAAAGATAGCCCACGTTTGTAGAAAACAACCTGGCAACTCAGCAAGTGGATAATGATGAATAGAAAAGATGGTTTAAAATACTGGTAGGGGACATTTAAGGTGCACAATTGACTAAGGGACCTCATTCTTCCCAAATCTACACCACAGAATTGCCATGATGTCACTTTAACAACAACAATCACTTCAGGGTATAAACTGGTAACTAATTACAACTGTGGAGTTATGTAGCGAAGGTAAACTTGCTGATTTTAGCTAAACACAGTGGTGTGACATGTTTGACATTTCTGCTGTGCTTATTTTATGTATGTATGTATGTATGTATGTATGTAGAAACCAAACCTACTGGCACAGGAGGTAAACAATGTACTGCTGCGGACGGGGCTGCAGCAAATATCGCTGCAGCGATAGTGGCTTTAAAAAGAACAATCGGAATTGGCCGAAATGCATTTACTTAATTTACACAATGACTGAGCATTATAGACATTGAAAAGTATTGTATTTTATGTCTCATGGGCAGGGCCGGTGTAGAGGCGGTATAGGCAAATGCTAAGGGGGCTGTCCGTCCAGGGGGCGCCACAAATGGGAATAAAGTGTGTAACTATTCTTAAAACTAGTTGGTACTATTATTTCTTAATATGAATAAAATAAGCCCACATTAATTCAACTGCTTAGCAAAACCTATTAGATTAAAAAAAAAAAAGATAATAATAACGTTACTTTTTTAAGTCCTAACGTGTGTTAACAGTGTTAAACTTTACATCACTGTCAAAGTGCACAACATTAATGTTAATAATCCATAATTTAGCATTCCCATATGCTATATTATACTGCAGTTTACTGCTTCTTTGCATTCTGCTAATCAGCATTTCACTGTAATGACAATACAATTGAATCTAATCTAATTTGCAGAAAAAATAAATGCATTATACATGTAGAGTATAACATCATGAATCTCTTTGTTTTTTTATTTTTATTATCATTTCATTTCATTCTTGGAATCATTTTATTATTCGACTGTAACACCCAATAATATCTAAATCCCACCCCTGCACAGCCCAGCAGTGATGCAGCAGCATGTAGTTTCTAAGTCATTATTGCAGTATTAAAAAAAGCACCACTAGAGGTCTCTGTAGAATCTCTTTTTTCTGTAATATAGTTATTGTGTGCAATTATACTCAATGCAAACTGTGCAGTTACTTAAATCCTTGTAATTTGTTGTCAGTTCTAATTTCTTTAATATCTTATTTTGTGCATTTCCTTATTTTTTTTTTGTATATATGATTATTTTGTTACTTGATTCGTTTTTATTTTGTGGGTGGTTAGATCTTAGTTTGTGTAGGCTATTTATTGTATTTCATATATTAATTTCATATTTTTGTATTAATTTATTTATTTCTAATTTATTATATTGTTAACTGTTTTGATTGGGCCATTTATTTTCTTAAAATAAAATAAAATGGCAAAGACAAAGCTATTAAGTTTCTTGTGAGTATATGTAAATTGGCAGTAGAATTTACTGTGATGCAAGGGGGGCGCCACCTAAAATCTTGCCTAGGGCGCCAAATTGGTTGGGGCCGGGCCTGCCGGTGGGCCATCACCATCATCAGAGTATGCTTGCATAATATGATGTTTGTTTTCTAAATCACCATCAAGTTAAAAATCGGAACAAGAAAAGGACTATAAACCACTTTCTTCATTTATTCGAAAGGGTTTTCGCATCTGCTAATTCTCTCACCAACCTTTATTATGGATACAATTAAAGTCAGAGAGAGCCTGTCTGTCAGCAAGAAACATTTATACATAACGTTTTGATCATCATTTCCATTCAGTCACGCCGAGGCTGATCATGAGCGTCAGGTGGATGAGTTACAGATTGTCAATTTTCCATGAAACACCCGGCCTAATAAATAATTTCCAGTGTTCAAAAGAAACCATCATCACATTCTGGGTAGCTATAATAATGAATTCACAATCACAATACCAATAAATACGGATACAAATAATTTATCAATACTGTAATGGCATTCTGTAGCCTAACTCTCAACAGGACACAAAAATATAGAATCCTGCATATATTATATTATATTATATTAGGCCTATATTAGCCTATATTATATTATATTATATTATATTATATTATATTATATTAGGCTATATTATATTATATTATATCACATTATATTAGGCTATATTATATTATGTGTGTGCAGACACAAACTCCATTAGGCTTAATGTTTCTATATAAAGCCCGTGAAGCCTATAGCCGCTTTAATCAGAAACGGACGTCGCTTAACGTGACGCTTCAGAGGAAAAGACATCTCATTTCTCTAAAGGCATTTGCCCTTGTTTCTTCTCTCCTCGCGTCTCTCTCCTGTCCAGGAAGAGACATAAGTGAGGGAAATAAGGTTGCGAGATCGGGGCCGAATCCAAAGTTGACTTCACCGCACTTGTGCAGACTCACGGACTTTGCGGGCGCGCACCCGGGATGTCTGGGAGTGCTGAGGGCTGTCCAAATTCACCCTGTCTACAAAGGGCCTGAAACGGACTTTCTGTAGAGTTCCGGAGAGTCCGCTTGGCGTGCAGACTTCAGCAGACTTCACTGATTTAATTGCACACAATTCATTGCAATACGGACGCGAATTTGTTTTGTGTGTGACTTTTTTTTTTTTCAATAGCCGACTAAAAACACAAAACTTATGTGTATGTAAAACAGTTAATGTAGCCTTTCAGATTGTTATATAGTTTGGAAAAGTGGCCGAAAAACAGCAAAAGAAGATCATCTGTAGCCTAACTATAATAGCCTATGACAGCAATTACAACGATTGTAATTGTCGCTGGAACGTTTCCATAGGAACGAGTAAAACAGTCTCGTGGGCTGTCCATCCGCGGCTTGTGGTCTCTGCCCTATCAGCCCATATTGGGAAAAATTATTATTATTATTGTTGGGATAAACCCCATTAAATAGGCCTATGTCTGCACATGTGGGTGGAGTCAGATGAGAGTTATCATAGGCTAGATATAGCCTAGCCATCATCACAGAGAAGTTATGGTCATACAAATGGACGGGGGATCTGAACGGGTTAATTGCTCCACCACAATCACAATTTACTTAAGCAGTAGCCTATCACAGCTGCTGATATTCAGTAGGCCTACAACAACACTACCTCGACTGTGGTACTGTTTTATAGGCTATAAAAGTGTTAGAAGTGCCGTTTATTAAGAGTAAAAAGCGGCAACATAGATTTGTGTTGTGAATTAGCCTATTAGGCTCTGCCGGCACAAATAGTCCTGGGACTGGATTTGACTGTTGCCAAACAACCCACAAAATACTCCTGCACACTAGCTTGCTACTTTATGTAAGCTAGGTCTATACATTACAACAGACTGGCTACTATCTATGATGTAGGCTACCTCTGTGTGTTTCCATTTGCGGCCAGTGAAATAAGATTGTGTTGACAGTCGCTTTGGTGACATAGGCTACGTGTGATGCCGCCGAGTTAGCTTAATCAGTAGCCTACGTTACGTCGGCTTCTGATGTCACAGAAACATACCTGGAGATTAACAGTGAAATACTCAGGCTTCTCCCTGTCCCTTCCTCCTTTTCTCACGAACATTCATCATTTTTGACTCTGTTTTTTTGTGGAAATACGTCCCTCGTTGCAAACTTTGTTATGATGCTTAATGTCGGCTAATTAACGGTTAACATAGCCTAATTAACGGCTCGGAACACCTGTTAAGCGGAATGATACCACCTGCATAGTTAAAAGTCCCAGCACTGGATATCAGCACGCATGGAATGCCTCCT